GTCAGTTTTGGAGTCTTGAAAAACTTCTCTCTCAGAAGGCCACTCCTCTCTTCCAACTGGTGTCATTTATTGTATAACAATGTAGTGTTTGTCTTATGATTGTACATTGCGTGGGCATATTGGATTATTCGTTGGACTCTAGGCATGCTCTGAAATACTTGAATTAATTTTATCGATTATATTGCTCCAGATTGGAATTATTCAATGTCAGTCTCTAAAGCAACTCGAACAAATTGAAGAAAACTATACTATTAAACAAACCTCTGTTTTTCAGAATTAGCCTCCCATTATTTAGTTGGGAAGATCGAACTCCCTTATCTTGATTCATTCACTGCGATATGCAAACATTTTCAAATTGAAAGCTTTTAACATTTCAAACTCGTCCATGTGATTGTTATTGAGAGTAACAATAGGCCACCTTACGAATTTAACAAAGGAAAAAATTAATCGTTTATATATGTAGTTTTGAGCTGGTCCATCTCTGAATTTTAATTTGCTTAACTTAATCCCTGAAGTTTCAGTCATTTAATAAAACTGCTCCCCACACCTTCCAAAAAAACATCTTAACTATGGTGTAACAAGTCATGGAATGTAGAAACTAACGATTAAATAGCGAAAATTGAGATATTGAGTTGCATTAGGTTGAACTTAAAGAACTATATGCTCTAAATGCCCATCTGGATTAGTTTAATTGATTAGAGGTTTTTCTACCTGTTTCTCTCGAAAAGGGAAATTATCCACACTCTTGTCCATATGAGAAGAGCGAAAGATGTCTAGATTATTTCTTTTTGACTTGCAAAATTCTGAGAAGATGCTTTCTAAACATCAGCTTATCTCATCAACAAATTACCCATTGCCGCTCTTCACCTCCTTAAGCTTTCCAGAACAAAAATCCTTGATTTTGCATGATATTAGAGTGCTCCAAACATAATGACGATAATTCAAGAACATGGAAAACCCAAGAGCTACTTGAATTCCCATCATTCCTAAGTCTGCGAAATGCGCTCGACCATTCATATTTATGAAATTACCATAAAACTACTATATATAATCACGTCATGTTCTTGTTAAAACATTGACGAGAATATCTGACAATTGCTCAGATGCAAAACTTGTTAAACTCAAGAAAATACCTCAGCTTAGTTCTTGGTTTAGGTGACCCGTTAGTAGTTAATAATGTGATGCCGAATTGTCAAAAACATCCATGAACTAATTTTTAGACAACAGAACAGCACAAATACAAGAGACTTCATGTTTGTTTCGTTCTGAATTAAATCATAATACTATCTTCAAATTACGGTTTCAGAACATATCATGATATCCTGAGATTAGTTTGCAAGTCGCTAAGCTATAAAAGCCACAGGCATAGAATCAAAAGTGGGATCCAGCCGAAGAATTTCCTATATGTATTAAGAGACAACTGGCTCTTCAATATGATCAACACTTACATGCCTAGAATTATTTCTACAGCATACAGCAACATTCAATGATAAAATTCCGCGGTTCTGTAAAAGTGAGAAAACAAGTTAAAATATTTCATAGCATTGTGCTCAAGTCTTAACGAAGATATTTTGGAAGTTCATATGTATCTTAAAATCAAACATAGATTCAAGTTCCTCAAAATTGGTGTCATTCATTCTGTTTGTTTGTCTCTGTTCCTGTAAATAAGAATGTGGAAATGATAAAAAGAAAGTGTATATCCAAAAAAGAAATGATGCAAGATAGAAATATTGCCATAAGATGAACGCAAGAAAACACTGAAAATCTTTGGTTATTATAGCCGAGTCTAAGACTATTGTATGGATTTGGAAATGGACTGCAAAGATTGGATAAACAAGTTGCCATAGCAAAACATTTTTAAATAGAAAGCTTCGGTGAACTGCTGAACTTTTACATTTTCATACTTAAGACATCTCCGTTTGTTTGTTTCTCTTCTTAGCAGGCAACATTGATGAATTTTTACAGTAAAGAGAGAGTTAACATAATACAAGTCTAAAAGCATTGCCACGTTCTTGATGTCAGTACATGAGAGCTTCTACAGGCAAGCAGAGATCTAATTTGCAATTGATAACTTCAGAAAATAACAAGCATGCACGGAAAAGTTACCAAGCAATGATGTAAATTAACAGTTACCATTTTCTTGCTGTCTCAGTGCATTAGCAGGGTCTTATTAGAAAATAACAAGCACAAACAGAAACATAAACATGGGTCTTGGAGTATCAGCCTTAATGAAACTGCCCCATAGGACAAAAAAAACATGGAATCAGTGAGTTGATGAAGAGAAAGAGCATGGTGATCTTGAAGGAGATGATAAGTAAGGCTTAGGTGGGACCTGCAAGGTCCCAACTCTGCCCTCAAGCATCTCCACCACTTTATTCATCACTGGACGGTTTGAAGGGTTAGTTTGTATGCACCATAAGCTTGTTATAACCATCTGTCTTATCCTCTCTTGGTCAGTTTCATTTCTAATGCTCCTCAGTGCAGGTCTTCATTGAATTCTAGACGCTTGTAAATCCAATGAGGAAAATATATTTCACTAGTATTGTTAACATTGACATTAACATTCCTTCTTCCTCCAATCATTTCTAAAACCATCATCCCAAAACTATAAACATCTGATTTGTGAGACACGACACCAAAATTTCTAGAAATTACCTCAGGAGCAATATATCCGATAGTTCCTCTGGCACCCCACATGGATACAGCACTTTCATTTCTAGGACATATTTTTGCTAATCCAAAATCAGAGATCTTCGGGCAAAAGTTCTCATCCAACAAAATGTTGTGAGGTTTTATGTCAAAATGCAATATCCGAGCATTACATCCTCTATGCAAATACTCTAGTCCTCGTGCAACACCCACTGCAATTTGATGCAATATTTCACAGCTCAATTGGAGGTTACCATTAAGGAGGTTGGCTTCATTTTCAAAGATGAACTTCTCTAACGATCCATTAGCCATAAACTCATAAACAAGTGCCTTCTTTGGTCCTTCAAAACAAAGTCCCAGAAGAGTGACAATGTTAACATGGGAAGTCTTGCTTATACTTGCTACCTCATTGAGGAATTCCTCCCCATTACTTTTTGTTTCATTCAAAACCTTCACAGCAACTAGACACTCATCATGTAACTTCCCTTTGAACACACTTCCATAGCCTCCTTGCCCTAATTTTTCTTGGAAACAATTGGTCATTTTCTTTATCTCCGAGTAGGTATATCTGTTTGTGGCAAGTGATTTGTGGCTCTTTAAAAAGGCCTCAAAATCTTGATGAGCTTGAGATTTGTTGTTCCAGAATATAGTGATTTTGTCAGAAAACATAGCCCTCTTAAAGAAGTAGACTATAGGGACAAAAACTCCCATTATTGCAACTGCAGAAACTGTGATCAATAGGAGATGAGATTATCCAAATTTTGTAGCCGTCAATGACTAACATAAATACTGCTTAACTATCACATTGTTTCCGTAAGGATTCTTTCTTCTTTCAACCATGTTTATCATATATAAAAAGCTTACAGATTAACATCTCTCTCACTCTATTCATGTTAAATTCTAATTTCATGATCAGTTTTAGTATATTTTCGGTCATCCATCATCGTGAGAACAGTTATGAGACCTCAGGGCTGATGTTTTCAGTTGATGCGATAATAATAGTAAATTAATGTTAATCAAGTACAATGTATCACCTGTAGCAGCTATAACCACCGACCTCCGTGATTCCTTGCCAACTGAAAAAGGAAATTATAGTTAACACTTGACACACGCGGAGAATACTTACAAACTTGAAAGTTAGGATCCTAAAAGCTAGGGCCAAGGAGAAAAGGAATAAGCTAGGAATCAGGATGAACCCAATTAAAATCTTAACGTTGGTTATAATTTATATTTGTGCACCGAAAGATCCAAACTTCGACCCCTTAATGACGATGTTTTTTTCATTTTCTTTTTCGATAAACTACTTGTCAAGGTTAAAAGGAAAAAACAAAGAAAGAAAAAGGAGAGATCTCAATTTTATATAAAAGGGAAAATATACTTGCAGGTCCTTATAGTTTGATCAGATTTTGAATTAGGTCCTTATAATTTTATTTTATTTTATTGAATTCTTGTAGTTAATTTTGTTAAACTTATAAGTCCTTCTGTCACTAATGTTGCAAACATCATTAATTCACAATGGCAGAGGATGATCTAGTAGTGTGCTCTCTCTCCCCTCTCCCAAGTTTGTGTCTCTTTCTCTATCACCTTTTTCTCTCATCTGTTAAAGCTAACCATGATGAGCTTGATTAAATGTAGAAGGAGTGAAGAAGGACTGCTTCTTTGACTGATCCTACTCTTCATCAACATGGGCACGCTGCTTCTATGCTGTTATAAGTTCAATTACGCCAAGACAGAGTATAGTGAGGATTGGCATTTAGCATTGTCCAATCGCAATTTTTTGGTGAACTCTTATGGCCACTTTCATTAGCACTACCATTGTGGGTTAGCGGTGTTTGCAACATTAGTGATGGAAGGACTTGTGAATTTAACAGAATTAACTACAAAAATTCAATTAAAAAAAACTATAAGGACCTAATTCAAAATCTGATCAAATTATAAATATATTTTCTCATATATAAATCACTTTTTAATACATCATCGAAATAAAAAAAATATTTTTATTTAAAAAACTTAAAATTGAGTAAGCTTTTAATTTTTGTCTTTAACTAATGTTTTTATTTAAAAAACTTAAAACTGAGTAAGAGTTTTTAATTTTTGTCTTTAATTAATTTATCAACCGGGAAAAAAGAAGCATTCTCTCCCACTTTTTTTTTTTTTAAAGGTTTTCTCTCCTTTTTCAACAAAAGGCATCTTTAGAAAACAAATACTATTAAGAGGGTATTTGGAGAATATCAAAAGTGTTTCTGAAAAGTGCTTTTCTGTAAATTGAGATAAACTTATTTAGTATACTGTAAAAATATTTTTAAAATTGATTTTGATTCTATCCAAACACGTCTAAATGTCACAAAAGATTAATCACTTTGTATCGTTACAGAGAGCAAACCTCCAGAAGAACATCCGGCAAGCTGATCGCTAGTGCGGCAAAAGCACCTGAAGCCGTTAGCATCGAAGTCGAAGCCGCACCTCCCTCCACTGCTCTGGCATGCGTCGCACCCGCTCACCGTCCAATTCCTTTGCTTTAACAAGAATCCTCTTCTCAAAGCCTCTCTTATCCCTCCTTCCACATTCTCCACCACCGTCCTCATCGTCGACCCATCTCTGCAATTATCCTTCGCATACTTCAACTTCTTTTCCTCGTCATTCACCGCCATACCCAACACCCACCTCGTTCTGTTCCCTTCAAAGCAACCCAATACGTTTGCTTTCATCTCCTCCGCCAGCGACGGTAAGTCACAACCGAAGAACAGCAGCACCTCCTTCTGGTTCGGAGCCAAAGTAAACCTTATGCTGGTGGTGAGGTTGGTGGAGGGGGAGAAACAGTTCGTGGAATTGGAGAGTTGGAAGCTAGGGTTGGAGACCCGAAGAGAGTGATTATTGTAGAAAATTTCATCGACAATGTAAAAAGTATGGGAGAGATTGAGCATGGGAAGCCATTGGAAGCACAGACAAGGCCGAAATGAGGCAATCCACAGGAGGGATCTTGTTTACCTTTGATATGAAAGGGGAAGGTTATGTTTTGCCCATTTCCGCAGGTTTTGGGCTCGCAAGCTTGGAACCTTGGGTTCAAAGAACCCACAACATTTCCGAACAAGAACAGAAGGTTCAGAATGAACAAGATGGAAACACGGGGTGACATTTCTCTGTCAGATGATACTTCTTTTCCTTCGAACTTCAATGGCTACTTAGCTTGGTGGAAGATTTATCTGTGTTTCTGTGCTTAGTGAAGGACCGTTAGTTACCACCAGAAGATTAAGCGGGGACTAAGAATAGTGGAGGACTTCATTGCAGTGAATGTTGACTTTAAAATGAAAAGCGAAGACTGGTCAAACGTGTTAGGAGGGGCTCAAACTTTTGAAAACTACGGGTAACAAAATTTTTGACAAGGAAATTAAATTTTGTTTCAACTGGATTGTTTTCTTGGTCATGTTTGAAATACATATGCTGCGTGCTGCAAAAATAGCGTCGTAATTGCATGGAATGATTATCAAATAAATATGGACGCATGAAAAAATAAATATTTAACCATGCAGAATTCCTCTTCCTTACCTCTTGTTTAATTTGCTCAAAATCTTCAGAGCAATGGGACATTTTAGTATTATAAGAACAAAAACTCCTACTGTATATATTATACCTGCATAAGATGTTAATAAGATTAGAAGAGATGGGATTACGCAAAACCCTGGGCATTAATGAGTGGCATAGATACTGATTAGCTATCCGATTATTTCCATAGAAGTTAGTGTGTTGTTGTCAGCTGGACAGTGGCCTCCCTTCTGGTAGTGACACTCGTCACAATCATCAGATAATTGCACTTCAGTATCCATTTCACAGCATAAGAATGGTGATGAAAATCTGTGGTATATGTCAGGTTCTTACAAGGAAGCTGAAGAATTGAGCAATCAGGTAAAGATTCTCCTGCTGATGAACGACATTTGTACGCAGTAATGATGATTTTCCATTCTTCTGCAGTATAATCGTTTTAAATGAAAAAGGATCATCACAACCATATTATATATGTATGTATAGTGATAAATCCAGTGTTGCAAAGCAAAGGGAAGTGGAGACTCCCGGATTGTCCACACTTGTCATGCTTCCTACATTTCCATACCCAGCAAGAAAACTCTAATTATGATTGAACTGTCCTCCCATTATATATCTCCTACTCGAACTTCTTCATACACAGTTGACTAGGTAAATGGCTGGCGATTTAAAAGCTTTGTTTATATATACTAATTTGTCAAGTCACGCGCATTTGTTAAATCTTCATTTGGAATATTTTTGAAGAATATTTTGAGTATATTTTGAAGAGTTATCAATTACTTTTCAGTGATTTCTAAGAGTTAATTTGAGAAATCAATTTGGGGCATTAATTGGGGGATTTAGTGTGAGTATCATAGCTTTAAATCAAAATAGAAATCGTTTAGTTTAAGATATAAATAAGTAATAAAAAGTGGTTCTGAAACAAAAGAAAAATATTTAAGTTATTAGTATTTTGTTTTGTTTCTTCCATTTATTTTTATGAATTCCTTTTCTTTGACCTTTAGCATAGGTGACGTCATTTTCTTTAGGTGAGGAGAATGAAGTTTTTGAATTTGGAAGAGGCACAGGAGCACCGTTTGGAGAAAGGAAAATTAAAATTTGACTTTGGGAATTTAAAACGGAACGACAGCGTTTCTAGGACGCGGCGTTTTGGGGAAAGGTAGCAGCGAAGGGTTGAGAGAAAGAGGGGGATTCATAGAGGGGGAGGCGCGACTGGATATTCTACCTCTGGCGGTGGCCGACGGTTTCTGCAGGAGGAGAAGGCCGACACTGTTCATCGTAAGGAGACTGGACGTCATCTTCTCTTGTTCTTTGGGTTCGCTTTGGGTTCGACTGGTTCAGTGAGCGAGAGAGGGAGGAGGCAGACATTGGGAGAGGCCGAATCTGGTTCATCGACCGTGATCTTCTTCTTCATTAGAGTTAGGAGTCGACTGGTTTTGATCAGAGGAGCACGAGCTGCGATAGGAGCTTTAAACAGTGTTTTGTTTCCAATATTTCTTTCTATTTCTATCATGATTTTGAATCTGGAATTATTGTTCCTGACATGATTATATTTAAAATCATGTGTAGCTTTTTTTTTTTTTAGTCAAGAGAAACTATGAAGTTATTAGTGGATTGAGCTTTGTTTTTACTGAATTGAGGATGTTTAGTCTTAAATTGTGGTTACTTAATTTTGTTTTTATTGTCCATTTAATGACTGATCACCATCTGTGAATTTGCAAATTAAAATTTTTTTTGACAAATGGAATTTAATTAAGCTCTTAGATTAAGTAATATGGGATTAGATGTTAATTTAATTTGTAATTAGGATAGAAATATACCTAATTGTCCCGTATAATTGTTAATGAGTGAGATCAAATTGTTT